AAAAAAAATAAAAAAAAAAAAAAAAAAAAAGGGGATCAAAAGAGGGGGGGGAAGACGGCAGTGCACGCAGTCCGCGGAAAGCTGATAAGTCATAATCAACACATCTGGCCTCGTACACTGTGCTACCCACAACAAACCACCAATAAGACTTGAAAATGGTTTCTTCGTAATCTCATCATCGCCATTTGACGGTACCAACAATTTAAAGTTATCATCATTTGGTGTATCAAACATTTTTAATTTTTCCTTCGTGAATTGTTTTTGAAGGTTCGATATGTAATGAGCTCACCTGTAAGGTACAGATCCCTCGGTGAGACACCGATGAAAAAAAGACACAAGCAATCGGTATGCTACCGTATCAGAATAGACAGACGTCTCAGACCTCCCAGACGTCTCATCCCAGACTGATCTGCCTTGGTTCAACTTGAAAACTTCAAAGTCCCACTCAGACCAGTCTGGAACACATCAGACTCGTCTGGAACTACAAAACAGACTCGTCTGTAACTATACAACATGAGCGAGACGAGTTGCCATATACATACATACCACACCAGCCTGACTGATCTACATCAGACTCGTCTGTAGCTAATGCTATGTATCCACCAGACTCGTCTGTCGGCTTCATGGCCAGACAAATCACCATATACACACTACACCAGCGCCAGACTGATCTGGAACTCAACACGCACTTGTTAACCTGAGTCCAGACCAGTCTAGTCTCAATTCCCAACACACCAGACTGGTCTGTTCCAGCTTCTGATTCTGATCATCCTCGCACAGACCTTCACGAAACAAATGAACCAAAACATTATACACAAGAAGTTTTTGTTTGGCACACCAGCTTAGCCAAACAATTGAATCAAAATTCAATCATCCCACCAATCAGCCAAATATTCAACACATCTCACAACATGAAGTATTGGTTTGTCCTTCCTATTTTTCATCTTGTGTAGGAATTCTTTGTTTAAATTCTAGTCTTGTTAAGTAGATTGGAAAATGACAACTTTTGACCCGTCACCTCTTCAACATGTACAGTCGATTTCAGAAAGCTTGGAAGCAAACTGGCGCGAATTCTTTCCAAGCTTTGTGAAATCGACTGTAGTTCATGTGGTCCCAGTCTTGCGTGATATGCTTAATATGTATATAGTCTTCATTCATTGTCACACCTTTCATTTCTTGTTTCATCAGCGTCTTCTTGACCAACCAAATGACAACAAGCTCATATCAGAAGAAGGTCATTAACATTGACCACATTAATACAATACACCCAATTAAGCTCAACTAAGCACTAAGCCCCTCGCGCGGCCGCGTCCGCGCCCTCGAAAGGCCGCGCGAGGGGCTTAGTAAAGCTTAACACCCAATGTATCCCTCACTAATACAATACACTTGATGTATTCTTCAAGGTGAAAGCGCTATGTATCGTGTACGGATGCATAAATCTCGAAATCGTGGCTGTCCTAATCAATACAATGGACTAATTGGTATCTCAAACTTCTTCTTTTTCTCACCTGAGCGCAATGATGTCAATCTCAATTCATTGCTTGGGCTGTATCTACTCTCATTGACAGCTACTGGACCAATCATGATTTGCAATATGTGAGCAACAGAACATTTAAACAAGGGGTGTACTTATCACTAAATATTGGTGTCGTGAAATCACTCGTCATCTCATTCATAAAACGCACAATCAAAGACAGCTCTATAGAAATTTGTTCAAAAGAACATATGTATGTACATAGTTTGGAGTTTGTATGTATGTCAAGTTGTCAATGGATTTCAATCGATGCAAAATCATTTCCAAAAGACGGCTGTCTAATTGAGTTGGGATTGGTGTCATGATATTGGTATGCAGGTTTGTACTAATAAATCATAGGACAAACCCTCTAATAAATTGTAGTACAAACCCTTCAAACATAAAACTTATTGAGTTCATACTCTCAAGTACTCTCACCAGCTCTCACTCTGCGCCCACAGATTTCCAATTTCATATGTGGCGTGCCTGAGCAAAAGTCAGACTTGACAGCAGACTGTGAGAAAATTTTACTTTCAGTCACCAAAGCACCTCTTGATTTGCTGCTATGTACAATGGTCAGAGTCTAAATAAACCAACATGACAAAGGGATCGTACAGATATCTTGTTATCTTGTGTTAACAGTGGAAACTAAATTTTAATAAGCATTGCAGTTTGAGAACAAGGGGATCAAAGCTCTTCATTGAGAACTCTAGATTAACTATTTGGAGAAAACAGGAGCAATATGGAACTGAAAAAAGACAAGACGATAAAAAACAGAAAAAGAAAAAGATGATAAAATCAAAAAGGACTCAAAGTAATCATGGCGACATGGCGATCATGCAACATCACATGTAGCCTCCCTGTTGCTTCCAGTCGCTTGAGCCACGCCTGCAGTTATCACAATTGTTTGAGCTTCAGCTGATAGGCCCGACCCTGTGGTGACTTGAGAGGCTTGAGGTTCAGATAAACGAGTTTGATCAGATTCAGATAAACGAGATTGGTTGGCGGTTGGAGGTTCAGATGGACGAGTTTCATTTGTGGTTTGAGGTTGAGATGGATGAGTTGCATTGCCGGTGGCTTGAGGATCAGATGTACGACTTTGAGTAGTGGTTTGAGGTTCAAATGGAGGAGTTTGATTGGTGGTTTGAGTTTCAGATGGACGAGTTTGATTGGTGCTTTGAGGTTGAGATACAGAAGTTTGATTGGTGCTTTGAGGTTCACATTCGCTCGATTGGCCTTCGATGTCCCTCAAGAGTTTAAACTTGCCCTCTTTCAAATCTTTGATCCACTTACGACGAGTCTTGGCATTCATGGCGGTGAAGCCTTTGTTGAAGTCTTCGATCGACATGGCAGAATCGGCGGCACGTTCAACCTTCATTTTCCGATCTTTGAGGGAAGCAATTGGATTGGGTGTGCGAGGGAACGGCTTATATTTGTGTGATCCAACCAGATTCACTAGGAAGGACGCTTTGAGTGAGATTCTGATTGAAAGTGAACAAATACAATTGAGACATTTACACTTACATACAAGCTCGTTTAGCATTCCGCCCAGTTCCCTCTTATCAATGTCGGATTGGTTGTTTGATGCCTGCTGTGCAGGTAGTCCACCAGTCTTAGCAGAAACAGCTTGGATATCTTCAAATAGCGAACCGTGTTGACAATAAAGTTGAAAAACCCGCGGCAATTGTGCCTTATCACCAACCCACCGAACAATATCCTCCGGGCTACTATGTTCTCGGCACCATCCTACTCCTCCATTATTACTACATGCAATGATATAGTAATCCATTCCTAGTTGTTGACGATCACGTTCAAGCTATCATCAAAGCAAAAGCATGTCAGGTGTATTCAATTATGAACTGAACAAATATAAGAAAATGCATACTTGTTGCGCTATCTTTTTAAAACTCAGGAGAGAACGCTTTTCCTCCTTAGCAGCAGACGCCGCAGCTGTATTAAGCTCCCGATCCCTGGCCACTTTCTTTGTATTCACCAGTTTATTGTAGATAGGCCGGTATAGAGTCTCATCTGCTTCACTGAGTTTGGGGACTTCAGGAATAAGAACTGAGGGATCGCCAGAGTTGTCGTCCGAGAAAGAGATGGCTGAATAATCAGGATAACCGCCGAGAGCAAAGAACATCGGTGATTCGAACACAGCAAGTTGGTTGTCAGTGAGCGCGTTATAAGCACGTCTGTTGGCTTTATTGCGAGCTGCCAGGATGGCAGATGAATTTGGGTGTCCTCGAGTTGGCACTGAAATATGAGATGATTAGACTTTGAGATAAGATTAGTATGACTAAAAATACGTACTTGGTAGCTTGTTGGCATCGTTAGCAAAACTTAGCCACCTATGCCAAGGATTATCGGCATGTGTCGCACCGATTAGGCCCCTGAAGAGTGGTTTCTGTTAGTAGAGCTATAAATCTTGATGAATGAATTGAAAAGACTTACAGAGAGCGTTTCAAAGTGAGGACGTCGATATGAGAAACCATTGCAATCATGTGAAGGGATACTTCTAAACGTTCGAGAACTGCCTTCCCTTCAGCAAGAACAACTGCGCTGATCTGGTGGTTGGACGATTTCTGACTATCGAGTTGTTCCTTGATGCGTCCAAGAGGCCAGTGTTTCATCACTCGATGGTAGTTTTTTAAAGTTATCTCATGGATATCTATATCAGCAACTTGATCATCAGTAGGATCAGGTAAAGGTGGTTGGATTTCACTCGATTGAGCTTGTGGTTGCTGAGTAGTTGCAGGTCTGGGTAAACGATTCACTTCTGTGTTGGCAGAAGCTGAAGAAGCCGGTTGATGACGTGGGCGCTTGTGGG